ACATGCTCAAGTTTTTATACGTTCATAATTTTACATTGTGATATAAAGATAAAGCAGAGATGCAATAAGCTCTTGTCCATCGTCATACCAAGAATATCAGTTCCTCACAACAGAGAGTCCCTGATGGAGGAGGAGAAGGGTGGGGTACAGAACTCAAATTCATGTAAAAAGACCAGACTTAATGGTCTGACTGAGACTGGAGGAACCCGAGAAAGCATGGCTCCCGGACTCTCTGTCAACACACAACTAAAACCGTTCCCGAGGCCACCTCTTCAGACAAAGAGTGGACAGGACTGTGGGACATAAAATGATACTCGTGAAGAGTGTGCTTCTTAGCTCAAGTAGATACATGAGACTAAATGGGCAGCTTCTGTCCGGAGGCGAGATGAGAAGGCAGAGAGGGTTAGGAGCTGGTTGAGTGGACGTGGGAAATCAGGGGTGGAAAGGAGGAGTGTGCTGTCTCAGTACAGGGGGAGCAATTAGGGTCACGTAACAATGTGTGTACAAATTTTTGGATAAGAAAACTAACTTGAAATGTCAACTTTCACTTAAACTACAACAATAAACCAAAAAAAAAGAATATCAGTTCCCGTCATCTTCTTGTGTGGCTCCTACCCTCTCCTCTTTGCTTGTCATTTGAGGCATGGCCAACAGAATTGCAGAATATTCCCGATGCTTTGAACAGGTGGAAGATGTTGCTTTTCTTATGACTGTACTTTTGTGGGGTGGTGGTGGTTGGTCCTGGAAAATGGCATTGCTTCTTCATCGTTTATCATGCAGGGGCGAAAATGTCCTGTGCTGAATGGAATTAACATTTTCTGATAATAACGTTCCCTTTTATCATCACGTTGTCTAGCACCGTGCTCTTGCACTAGCAAGATCTCTTCGTCGTGGTAAGCTTTGTGGAGTCTGGTGTTGGGGTGCGGCTGGGATGGCGTGCCCCTTGGCAGCGTCCGGTATCCTAGCACAGTGGAGTGTTGGGGCAGGCGAGGACGTTTTTGTAACTCCTCAGTCTGTGTCTTGTTGTGGTGTTATCACAAGTGTGCCACGTGATTTATCACCCTGCTGTGCTTCCTTACACATGTTGTCATTGTTAGTTACCATCGGCTTGATTCTGACTCGTGGCAACCCCACGTGTGCGGAGTAGAACTGCTCCATAAGGTTTTCGAGGCTGTGACCTTTCGGACGCAGAGCACCAGGCCTGTCTTCTGAGGTTCCTCTACGTGGATTTGAACCACCAGCCTTTTGGTTGGTAGTCCAGCACTTAGGCATTTGCATTCCCAAGGGCTCCTCCTTAACAACAGGAGGCAATTAAGTTAGCGGCTAAGAGCTTGAAC